TGGCTCGGTGGATAGAGCGTCGGCCTGCGGACCAAAGAGTCCCAGGTTTGGTTCCGGTCAAGGGCATGGACCTCGGTTGCAGGCTGCTCCCTGGCCCAGGCCCTGGTTTCTCTCACATCGATATTTCTCTCTGTCTTTCCCTCTCTCTTCCACTCTTTAAAATCAAAAGGAAAATATCCTCAAGTGAGGATTAAAAAAAAAATTGGGGGAAGGTTCATGCTTGGAATTAAAGCATCCCAGGATCCTTATATAATTTCAGAGGAAGATAAAGATGTAACTACCTTTATACTTTGGTAAGTGAGGTATTCATGTTAAAATTTCTAAAATAGCCACCAAAAGAATATAAACAGGGCACAGAAAACTTCCAATCTTCTAGAGAGACAGAAAAAGAATAAGAAAAAAAAATCAATCTAAAAGGAGGAAATAAAAGGGGAAAAGTATAGAAAATGCAGGATATATGTAAAACACAAAATAAGACAGTAGGATTAGATTCAAATAAATCAGTAATTACAACAAATGAAGATGGACAAATACTTCAGACAAATAAAAATAATTATCAAACCTTTAACAAAGAAAGCCCAATTATAAGATGTTCAGAAGACCCATTTCTAAAATACAGCAATACAAAAGACTGAGAGGAAAAAATGGAATAATATGTGAACAGGCAATTACCAACCAAATACAGGTTTGTAGCTATATTAATATCAGATAAAACAGGCAAAAAATAACTAGGAGTGCTCTGGCTGACTCAGTTGGTTGGAGCATTGCGCTGTATACCAAAAGGTTGCAGGTTCAATTCCAGGTCAGGGCATATACCTAGGTTTCAGGTTCAATCCCCAGTCGGGGCGGTATGGGAGGCAACTGACCAATGGATGTTTCTTTCTCTCTCTCTCTCTCCTCTCTTCTCTTTAAACATATCCTCGGGTGAGGATTAAAAAATAACAGAAGCAAAGACCTGACTACATAAGGCTCCAACCTGCCTCCTGCCTCTACCGGTGGTTCTCAACCTTCCTAATGCCGCGACCCTTTCATACAGTTCCTCATGTTGTGGTGACCCCCAACCATAAAATTATTTTCGTTGCTACTTCATAACTGTAATTTTGCTACTGTTACGAATCGTAATGTAAATATCTGATATGGAGGATGTATTTTCATTGTTCGCGACCCACAGGTTGAGAACTGCTGCAAACCAAACCACAGATTTGCCCAGGCCCAGCTCAGACAGCCCTTCCTATGCCCTACCCTAGCTGAAAACCCTCCCACCCACCCCTTCCCAGGAAAGGCTTAATTGCCCTCTAGGTACCCAGGGTCTGCGGGACTTCAGTCTGTATCTTGACTCTCTGGTGACTTATCTTCCACTTGCCGCTTGTTGAAGAAATTATAATAAAGTCCAATACAAATCCAAACCCTTAGCCAGGCCTTTGGCAGCCTGGCTCAGAGCGTGGATTTAAATCCCGGCCACACCGCTCACTTGCTGTGGGACCCTGAGTGGGCCACATGCCTTCTCTGAATCCAAGATTTCTTATTTGGCAAAGCAGAGGTACGAACACTGACTTCTAACACTGACTTCTAATGCTATGGTGAGGACTAAGTATGAGATGATATATGTGAAGCTCCTTGTATACAATAAGAACTCAAAAAAAGGAGCTATTCTTAGGTTGTCCATCTGTTGGAAAGACACAGTCCTCCCTCACACGCCTTCTGACACTTACACGGGACCCCTGACGCTGGGAACCTGGGTGGGGCCGAGAAGCTCTGTGCCTCCCTGGCTGTGGTGGACAGAGCTGCCCTCCCCCGTCCCCTGCCTTCCACAGAGTAGCTCCAGACCTCACTGACCACTGCGGGGCTCAGGACAGAGAAGAAAATGGCGTCTCCACCCCTCCCCCGCCCCTCCAAGAGTCTCTACTTCAAGCCAGAGGAATTCAACACGACCAACCTCACACCCCAGATTCCCAGCAGTTCTGGGGCCCAGCTGACTCCCCCATTTTGTAGAGGAAGAAACCAAGATTCAGACGAGAAACATCTCTCATCCGAAGTAAGAAACAGAGTCTGACCTTGAACCCATCTGTCTGCCCCTGGCACAAGCCAGGCTGCCCCCCAGAGAAGGTGCTAGGACCCAAAGAGGGGCTCCGGACCAGCTGGGCACTCTGCCCACGCCCCACTCAGCCCTGTCCTCAACCACCTGCCCGTCCCTGTCATGCCCAGCCTCCATTCTTCTGCAGCTGCCACCAGTTGCCACGGCAACGGGTTATTTGGGAAGCTGTGGGATGCTGGGCTGGGCTGCAGAGTCAAGGACGGGGCCTGGAGGCGAGAGCAGCCGTGGGCGTCTTCCAGGGGAGGCAGGCGGGCACTTGGCTCCGCCACCCAGCTCAGACTAGCCCCTCCGAACGCCGTGGGCCCAGGATAACTAATGTAACATGGGGAGGAGCCAGATTCGCAGCCATGTTCACCCCAGCGTGACTCAGAGCAGGACGGAACTGTGTGAACAGCAGGTAACGTTTCTGAATATCGTCCTCGCACCGGGCACCTTGCTAAATGCCAAGCACACACCATCTCCTGCTCAGCGCCTCCACCCTCGGAGATGTCCCCGGAGGTGAAGTCCCTTGCCTGGGTCACTCCGATAGGGGCAAAGCCAGGACCCAATGCCTGGCTGGTGGCCTCCAGACCTCGTGCTCTGAGCCACACTGCAGAGGTGGGAAATGAGAAAAGGAAGTCCCGGCCCATCCTCTGGTCCTAGCAGGGCCTGTGACAAGCGTGTCCGTAGCTGCGGTGATGCAGGCTCGGGGATTCGCCGAACAATAGGCACCAACTTGGAAAGATCTTCAAATGCTACAGCGCGTGGAGAGTAAACCGAGTACAGGTCCTGGAACAATGAGGCGCAGGATGAGCCTCCTTACAGGCAGGAAGGCACAAGGTGTAGGTGTTCACATATGTATAGAGTTCATAGAGAGCAGGCAGGAAAGACTGTAAACATGGTTATCTCCATGCAAGGCAAGGTGCCGGGCGGTGTTCAAAGGGATTTCCTCCTTCTGTGCTAACAATTAACTGGGGGGGAGATTAAATACCAAAAATCAAGTTATAAAAAATTTGGCACACGTGACCCCATTTCTAGGCAAAGAAAAGATATATACCCATAGGAAAAAGATGGGAAAGAGGACATACCAAAATGTCACCAGGAAATAGGCCTGAACGTTGACATTATGGGAATTTTTATTTTTTCTTTATTTTCTATGATAAACACACATTCTTTTTTTATTAAAAACTAATGTGTTTGAGTAATGCTTGCAAAGACAATGCAACCGCCTTCTCGTGTAATTACAGCACCAGGTGGGGGTAAATCACACAGGCAGCTCGTTGCTTCCTGTGCCAGTGCTACTGATCTGCTGTTTGGCCTTGAACTAGCCATTTCACCCTTCTGAGCCTCAGTGTCCACCTCAGTAAAATGGGTTTATATCAATGGCATCTACTTCATAGGGTGGTTAAGAAAACTGAAGATCAAGTGCTTGGAACAGCGCTTAGCACACAGTAGGCAGGCTAGGTACTATTGCTGATCGTGATGGCAGTAATGTTGTCCAGTAGCACCCCTCCCCAGCAGGGAAGATGCACCAGCAGGCCGTGCCGCGAGCTCTCAGGACAGACGGCCTATGTTTGCATCCTGGCTCCATCATTTACCAGATGTGGGCCGAGTGGGATAAAAATCAACTATGGGAGAAGCATGCGCCAAAAGCAGGGAGTGCTGTCTCCTGCCTTTGCTGTGTAAACACGTTCGCTATGGTTCTTAATAAAACGGCGATTATTACAAGTAAAAGAACAATACAGGGAACATGGATAGGCACCGACTCCCTTGCTGTGTGTGAGCTTGGAGATGTTTGTGAACTTCCCTGAGCCTCAGTTTCCCCACCTGGACACACGGAGCCAGTGCCCACTTTATAGGCAATTGCTGACACCAAAGCAAAAGCCAATTTGACTTATAAATGAAGTAATTTGCCTTGTGCCATCTGCTGGCTAGGCACATTGTTTTATGCCATCATCTCACTTAGTCCATTCAATTGAAATTAGTATCTCCTTTTTGCAGATGACGACACGGAGAGATTAAAAAGTATTCCAACGTCACTCAGCTAGGAGGTGGGCAGAGGCAAAATCTGAACCCAGGACTTACCAACTCCAAAAGATACTGACCACTGGCGCGATGTCCGTAAGGGTAGTTTACTTTTAGCATCCTGACTTGGTGGGCCTTAGTTTAGTCAGGTGTAAAATGGGCGTGTGGGACAAAGGTCATTAAGAGTCCATCCAGCTCAGCTCTGTTAAATGCCACCACCAAGCCTGGCATTGAGAGACTGGCCTGGCCCTTCCTATCCCCACCTCCCAGCCTCAACTTACCGGTTTGGGGAAGCCTCCTGGGCGGGATGCTGCCGGCGGGTCCGGGTCGTGGCTGAAGTTGTCGGAGCGTCTGTCGGTGGCCCGGTCCTCGGCAGGGGGCACTGGGCCCCTCCCCAGCTTAGCACACTTGGATCTTCTCTGCCCCATGAAGGGACCTGAGCGAGCCTTGCTGGCTGCAGACTCTGGGGAGCCGGCAGGGGTGTCAGTGGGAGCAGGGAGTCCTTGCCCGGGCCGCCCCATGGACACTGGCCAAGCCTTGACCTCCAGCTCCTCCTGGTTGTGTGAGGCAGCAGGGCCATCCTCACCGCCAGCCCCCACCACGACCTGCTCGGCTGCCCGCTGCCCTGTGGACGCCTTCCCAGACACTGCGGGGCTCTGGGGCGGATCCTGGGCAGCTGGCCTGAGGGACAGCCCGCCACTGGGCAGTGGGAACTGGACAGGGTCGTGGGGGCTGCCTGGTTGGGCCCCATCCCCCGCCTCGGGCAAATATGGGAACTTAGTCCCTGAGGCACATCCCACACAACTTCCATCTGAATCTCTTGGCCCGGCCCCGTGTCCTTGGGAGGAAGAGGACTGCAGGGGCCTCCCAAGGACTCCAGGTCAGCTCCTTGTGGGGGGTCGCCCACCCACTGGGGGTGGTCCCCACCAGGGCTCTGACCACCCCCTCCCCCTCCTCTGAGCAGGTCTCACACTCCCTGCTTTCCTTTCTCGCCCGGACCCGGGCTGAGCCTAGTGAGGGTGGCAGTGCCCGTGGGGGGGGCTTCTCCCATCACACCCTGGGGAACTCCCACCTTCTCCAGCCTCTGGGGGCCGGGGGCAGCTCGCCTTCTCCGCCTCTGCTGGCCTCTCCCTGCCGACCAGGGCTCTCTCCGGGAGGCCCACGGACACGCTACAAACATTCCTGGCCCAGTCGTCCTCTAGGACGCTGTGCAGAGAAAGCTGGGGCCTCTTCGGG